TGTCCTGAGACAAAATGTCCTACACCTATGCACTCCTTGTGGAATATAGTTAAAAGGTAAACCATTATTGAAATTGTATGCCCTTTCTTATTTTTCTACGGTCACTAATAATTGATTGTAGTATTTTTGGCTACAGGTAATTTAGTGTTGATTTATCATTGAAGAATATGATACGCTACGATTTAATGGAACGTATATTGCCTAGAGAGCCTCTCGCTCAAAACTAGTAATGTTAAAACTTTTCCGTTTCTTCGTGATAGCGTTTATGTGAGAAATTGACATATTACAGCGCTGCTTATGTAAATCAAGAACAAAAGCATCTCATAAATCTTACAATCTGTCCATCTGTTAACATTTCGCCCTTAGCATCTGCTTTTATGTAAGTAGAAAGAGCGTATATCTAAGTTATTTCCTACTATAGCTCGTGAGATGAGAAGAGGTGTGAAATCATAGCGGTAACGTTTTGATCTGTAACTTACGAAATATAGAGTTTTTGATTTATTTAAATGATGCAGATTTGTTGTTAGCTTAGAAAGGAGAAACATAGGTCTAACTATCAGGTTTTTCATCTTCTAGTTTGATCGCGCGCACTCTTAGAATATGTAAGGTCGAAATGGGTGTGATAAATAATTGTTTATCTTTTGGTTTATTGCGATAAAGGTGCACTTGTAACTTTTTTCGTGGATTATGTTGCATTCAATTGGCACAACTTTGAATTTTAATAGAACGTTTTGCTGGGAAGCATAAAAATAAACACTTTATCAAATTCTGTTAGTCGGACAAACCTGATTTTTATACGAAATTGCAGGGAAGGATGGTTACGGCCTTTACGAGGAGTAAATGCTATAGCAGCAGGCTCTATGCCTGCACATGCTCTATACTTTACAGTCTATGAAAAGACGAAGGTTCGTCTTTGTATACATTTTAGAAGATTTCAAAGTCCTACAACATGTTTAAGGGATTCCTTACTGGGAATACCGCAGGTCATTCAAATACACTAGCATACGGTGCCGCTGGAGCTGTTGCGACACTTATTCACGATGCCGTAATGAATCCCGCTGAGGTTCTCTTGTAGCTATTTTCATTATTTCTCGTTGAGTTTGTTTTGGTTTAGGTAGTGAAACAACGAATGCAAATGCAGTTCTCACCATACGGTTCGTCTATAGAATGTGTCCGATGCATATACCTACGTGAAGGAATGGGTGCATTTTATCGATCCTATAGTACACAATTACTAATGGGCATTCCTTACCAATCTGTTCATTTCATGACATATGAGTTCTGGCAACAGGTTTGGAAGGTTTAAACTTCGATAAATTGTTTCTTATCTGGTATCAGTTTAGATTCTTAATCATGAACATGAGTACAATCCCTTGTCGCATTTGGTATCTGGAGGAATGGCAGGTGGACTAGCAGCTGCTGTCACGACACCACTCGA